GTGGATCTTTGGAGAGGATAATATTTCATATATATTCATGTATATGTACAAATAGATACTATATATATACATCAGAGAGATAAAGCCTAATAAATAATAATAAAGCCTAACAAATGATTCTAATAACTGCTAATTATTGACAATAATAACATAAACTTTATTTTTGTTATTTGTTTGATATCATTAGCTTTGGTGTCAAAGCAAAGTTATACTACAAACACTTGACTGTTTTCTCCATTAAAAAGAAAATTATCACTATTGGAGTTCTCTAAATCATACTGTTTGTACAAGATCACTACTTAAGACCACAAGTGACCATGCTATGAGGATTGCAATGTCAAGATCAGCTTGTCCCCAAAGTCTATTCACCAATGTTGTTGTCATGTTTTAAAGTCCTGAGTATGGCAATTGGCCTGTGATCCATTGGATGCGCTTGCACATTTTAAGGACCTTGTCTTTATAAATTGTGGGAATATTTGGTATTTATTGTAAATAAATATTGTGTAGTCTTTATTGGGTTTTATTGGTCATTATTAGTAATTATTTCCCCTTGTATATATATAGTCAGCTTGTACTTAGTATTCGTACGAATAAGAAATATTATTTCTCTCTCAAATTTTACATGGCATCAGAGCAAATGGTTTGAAATCTTCATTAGGATTTTCTGGGTTATTGTTCATGCAAGAGATCATGTAAGGTAGTCTGCACAACACCTTAGGGCTGTGATGCAGGTACTCTTCGAGAATGTTGTGTGGCTCTCACTACCCCTTAGGTGTGTCTTGACAGATCCGATCGGCACAACCCCCGGAGGACACGACAATCGCTAGCGCATGTGAGCTACACACACCACTCGAATGTTTGACGCTAGAACTACTTCAGCAGCGTATGGAAACGCATACAGCCCCTGTTTTGGCCGTGACTTTGTTTTTCGGCAACAAAGAGCCTTTTTCGGTGAGATCTAGGCCTCATAAACGTCTGGGTACTCTCCCTTGACATTTGTTATCCCTCCTGTGCATTTAGGGTTTGTTTGAAGGAGTCTGGAGTTCTCTTGGGATGTGGCTACTAATTCTTTTCTGCTATATGGGTTTTGTCTCATAGGGAGCCTTAGGAGTGGTTATTTGGACTCTCCTAGGTGACCAGATATGGGACCATAATGTCATTGGCAAATTATGGGCCTACAACAATAATTGCCAAAAGAGGAACATTTCTTCAGGCTTTAAAAACATCTCGCAATGCCATAGTCTGGATTGTTGACTTAGGATCCTTCGACCATATGACTTGTTGTCATGAGTTGTTCACCATTTACACTCCATATGTTGGAAATGTTAAAGTCAAGATTATAGATGGCTCCTTGACACTGGTAGCAAAAAAGGGAAGTATTTGAATTTCTAACTTACACTGTTGGCATCTGTCCTTCACGTGCCCAAGTTTGATTGTAACTTACTTTCAATTAGTCAATTGACTATCCAGTCAAATTGTTATGCTAAATTCTTCCCATCCCATTGTATGTTTCAGGATCTGTCATTTAGAGTGACAATCAGAAGTGCTAAGGAGTTTGAAGGGCTCTACTATTTTGAAGCCACTACTCGAGTGGGTAACTCCTCGATTGTGGGTAACTCCGCATCTATTTCTAAAGTTAATGATTTTCTATTATGGCATAAGAGGATGGGTCATCCTAATTTTTATTACCTTCAACGATTGTTCCCAATTCTTTGTCCAAACCTGAATATTAATGACCTTCATTGTGAGGTGTGTGAATTGGTCAAACATCATAGAACATCCTTTCCTAGAGCAAAATACATGCCTACTAAACCTTTCACAATCATTCATAGTGACTTGTGGGGACTATCCCGTACACCTACTTGTATTAAAGCCATGTGGTTCATTTCCTTCATTAATGACCATACTCGTGTCAGTTGGGTTTCTCTTTTACGAAACAAGTCTAAGACTGCATCCACGTTCATTCCTTTCTTTAACATGATCAAAACCCAGTTTAATACCACCATCCAAGTCTTACACACCAACAGTGGCATATAATTCTTTAATCAATCTTTGAGCACTTCTCTCCACATGCGCAATATAGTCCATACTAGTTCTTGTGCTCATACACCTCAATAGCAGGGGTTGCGGAAAGGAAAAATCGTCACATACTTAATGTTGATAGGGTCCTCATGTTCGCCTGTAATGTGCTTTAGGGGGATGCCATTTTGGACGCGACCTACCACATCAATCGTATGCCTAGTCGAATCTTATCCTTAGAAACTCCTCCATGAATTGAAAATTATTTTCTCCACATCCCATATTGAAATCAATCTTCCCCTTCGTGTGTTTAGTTGCATAACCTTTGTCCATAACCACCAGCACCAAACTTGAACCTCAAGCCATCAAATGCATATCCCTTAGCTATTCTCCTACTTAAAAAAGATACAAATGCTTTGACCCTGTCACAAAACACACATTTGTCAGCCTTGATGTAACCTTACATGAAGCTACTCTATTCTATCCCAATTCTTCAAATCAGGGGGAGAGCACAGGTGAATTTTAGACTTGAGAACAAGAATCTAACAAAGAATTAGTGCTTCTTGAGCCTCCAACTGAACCTGAGCCATCTACCCTTCCAACATCCCTTCCAGTGCCATCTCCTCTTATGCCACAATATGAGGAACATAGGCAAACAGGAGGAGAGGCAGAAAGACCACAACAAGGAGAACTTTATGTTTACACTCGAAAAAAGAAATCAAAAGATAATGAGCAACTTGTACCTGAAGTACCAAGAGAGTTGACTCTAGAGGTCTCGTGGTGACTCAGAATTTGTGGTGACTTCTAAAACCCCAAAACTCGATAGTGCAAAACAAGTAAGTGAATCTACTGACCTTGATCTTCCTATTGCTTTGAGAAAGCAACCTCGCTCATATACCTTTCATCCAATAGAGGGTTTGTTTCGTACAATGCGCTTTCTCCTCAATATCAGGCTTTTGTTACTAATCTTGATAAAGTGAAGGTACCTAAGACTATACAAGAAGCTCTAAGCATTCCTGGATGGAGAAGTGCATGGAGGAAATGAGGACTTAGAAAAGAATGAGACATGAGAACTTGTTCAGCTACTAAAAGGAAAGAGAACAGTGAGTTGTAAGTTCATGTTCACCCCAAAATACAAGGCAGATGGAGCTCTTGACTAGTTGAAAGCTCGCTTGGTTGCAAGGGGTTTTACCCAAACATATGGCTTAGATTATGAAGAAACTTTTGCTCTGGTTGCAAAGTTAAACACTATCAGAGTCTTATTGTCTGTAGCAGCTAATCTTGAGTGGCCTCTTCACCAACTTGACATCAAAAATGCCTTTTAAATGGAGAGTTGAAGGAAGAAGTCTACATGACTCTACCACCCGGTTTGATAAAGGTAGGGCAAATTAAGTTTGTAAATTGAAAAAGTCTATATATGGCTTGAAACAGTCACTAAGAGCTTGGTTTGACAGGTTCTCAAAAGTCCAAAAGTTTGAAGGTTAAGCAAGCCCTGTCAGATCATACAATGTTTGTCAAAGTCAAAGGAAGCAGGAAATGTATCCTTATTGTCTATGTTGATGGCATAATACTCATCAGAGATCACCTTGAGGAGATAGAAAAGGTAAAGGCTGCCCTTGGCAAGGAATTTGAAGTCAAAGATCTCAAAAAGCTAAAATACTTTCTTGGGATGGAAGTTGCCAAGTCAAGGAGAGGGATCTATGTTTTTCAGAGAAAGTGTATACTTGACCTTCTTATTGAGACAGGTATGTTGGGTTGCAGACTTGTTGACACTCCTAATGAGGTCAAGAAACTGAAGAAGAAACCTAAAGACAAGCATGGGAAAGAGAAAGACTCCAAGGGGAAAGAAAATTCAGATGAGGAACATGTGGAAGAAAAGGAAGAAGCTACTGACAAAGAGATATATCAGAAACTTGTTGGAAAACTAATATCTTTCCCATACAAGGCCAGATATAGCATTCGTTGTTAGTATAGCCAGTCAATATATGAGCTACCCAATGAAGAGTCATATGGAAGCAGTTTACAAGATTTTGAGACATCTGAAAGGTACTCCTATAAAGGATTATTCGTTAGAAAATGTGAGCAAAGATCTATAGAAGTTTACACTGATGCAAGTTGGGGTGGAACTTATAGAGATCGAAGGTCAACCTTTGGTTATTGTTCATTTGTGTGGGGAAATCTAGTGACATGGAGAAGCTAGAAGCAAAGAATTGTTTCAAGAAGTAGTGCTGAATCAGAGTTGAAAGCTTTCGCTCAAGAAATATCAGAGGAGTTGTGGTTGGTATGAGTCTTGAATGAAATACAGGTTGAAGCAAGTTCACCATTGAAGCTCTATTATGATAATAAAGCTGCCATAATCATGACTTTAAATCTAGTACAACATGACCGGTCGAAACATGTAGAGATAGACTGACACTTCATCAGAGAAAAGGTGGAAGAAGGAATTATATGTTTGACATATTTGCCTACAAAGTTGCAAGCAGCTAATGTTTTGACTAAAAGGTTACTTGGCCCTGCTTTTGAGAATTATATAAGCAAGTTGGACATGATTAGCATCTATGATCCAACTTGAGGGGGAGTGTGGGAATACTTGGTATTTATTGTAAATATTGTATAGTCTTTATTAGGTTTTATTAGTCTTTATTAGTAATTATTTTCCCTTATGTCTATATAGTCAGCTTGTACTCAGTATTTATATGAATAAGAAATATTATTTCTCTCTCAAATTCTACAGAAATAACAATAAGACAATCAACAATGTCTTTATGCTCTGCTTCACCTTCACAAATAACATTTCATCCAATAGTTTTTTGTGCAAATGAAAATGTACAACTGCCTTTGCTTGAGAAACATGGATTCTTACAAGGCTTTTTAGTGGTTTGTTTCAAATGAGAATCTATGCTTAGTTTTCTATCATTGAGGAGATTCATTTTCATGGGATGATGTCATGGCTTCATATGGTTATATTTGTGTTGCTGCAGTGCAGGAATTGGTGTTCTTAATGCTGTAAGGAAAACAATGGCAAGGATGTTGGGTAATACTGAAGTAGCTTTTGAGAGTGCAAAGAGTCAATTCTGGGTTGTTGACGCTGAGGTATTGGATAACATCATATCCTTAATGCATAGAACATTGTTCATTTGTTTAATCAAATTAATTATGTGATATATATGACAGCATTAGTTTATTTTAGTGGATATTCATGTACCAATGGCATTTGTCTTTCATAACCTTGTCTTGTGTTTTGAAATCTGGTGTTAGTCCTAGAAAAGAAAAGGGAGTATAAATTCTAAGGGATTAGGATTCTATTATTAACTTAGAGTCTTGGAGTTTGTTATTGCCTAATGATGTAAAAGGCGCTCGCCTCAGCGCCTAAGGTGCCTGGGCGAGGCGCTGAACTTGGCCATCGCCTCTCAAGTGAAGAGAGGCGATGGGTTTCATCAGGCGCTTGCCTTTGAGCGCTTGTGCGCCTCGCATATCCTAAAGGCGCACGACTGACAGCACTTGGAAGCAGTGAAGATGAGAAGATCAAGAGAAGACAAAGACGGAAGATTTCAGAAGAGAAGACGATAAAGGAAGATGAAGGAGTGAAGAATGCTGACTGGGTGTGAAAGAACCGAAAAGAAGAGTAGAAGTTGGTTCTTGTTCGGACCGCCGGTGTCGACTGGGTATGCAAGAATCAGAGATGAGAACTCGTCTGCACTCCACCGACTGGGTACGACCGTACCGTGCGAGTATGCTAGCTGGCCATAAGTTCAGCATCGTGGACTGAATATCATCCATTAAAATATAATTTTTTTAAACCAAAATCCATTAAAATATGATAAAAAATATAGTAAATAATTATAAAAAATTTAACAAATCCTATCTTATCTTGTGAGAGAAACGTATAACATATAATAAATTAGGGAAGATTTAAATTTTAAATAAAAGATAATGAAAAATATTATATATAGAAAAAGATTTTAATTAATTATAAGAAATTCTCTTTGATTTAAATTTTAAATATGAGACAATTATAAAAGATTTAACAAATCCTATCCTATCTTGTGGGAGAAACGTATAACATAATAAATTAGGGAAGATTTGAATTTTAAATAAAAGATAATGAAAAATATTATATATAGAAAAAGATTTTAATTAATTATAAGAAATTATCTTTGATTTAAATTTTAAATATGATTGAGAAAATTTTGCTATCTGAAGGAAAATTTTTAGGAAAGTTTAAGACTTTAAAATCCCTCCCAATGTATATTTTTTAAGATATAAAAAGAAAACCTATTACTGTTATTTGGTATTGGCATCAGTGTGTCTCGTGGCTTAGAGCAAGAGAGCAATATCTCCAAGGATCACGTCTTGCACGTCTTGCATATCTTGCACTCTAACAATCAGGTTCCAACTTCTAAGTTTCAAACATCATATTATTTTCTGTTTTTCTTATTTGATTTGTTTGATTTTAGGCCTTTAGCACTACAACACACGGAACAATTATTCAAAAAACAAACCTTTAATTTTTCATTCTCTTTTTTGGTTTTTCCTGGTATTTTTCCCCAGTTTTTAGTGCTTCCATGGCTGAAAGTAGTGGTCAAGGTCAAAACAAACAACAAGAACAGAATAAGAGAAAAGACCCTGGATGGAAATATAATTTCTTGAGTGACCTAAATGACACCAATACTGTAACTTGTTCCTTTTGTAACAAATCTACAAAAGGAGGGATTCATAGAGCTAAGTTGCATCAAGTTGGAGGTAATAGGAATGCTGCTAAATGTTTGAAGTGTCCTGATAATGTGAGGAAGGAGTTGCAAGATTACATGGACAAAAAAAAGGTAGAAAAAGAGATATGATAATCCAATTATAAATGCTGTGGATATAAGTATGCATGGTGAAGAAGAGGAGGAGGAGGAGGAGTTGTATGGAAAGAAAGGAAAAAATGTTATGCTTACATCAAAGAAGCCTAGACAAAAAGGTCCCATGGATTCTTTTATGAGGAAACCAGAGCAAGTTATTCAATTATGAAAACAAGGAAAGTTGCGAGATGGAAATATAACTGATAAATTTGATACGGAGAGAAGAGCTATGGTTTGTCAATACATTGGTCGATTTTTCTACCAAGCTGGCATTCCATTTAATGTTGCTAACATGGATTCCTTTAAAATTATGATTGAAGCTATTAGACAATATGGTCCAAATCTAAAACCCCCAAGTTATTATGAGTTGAGGGTGCCAATTTTGAAGAAAGAAGTTGAACTTACAAATGATATGATGAAAAATCATAGAGATATGTGGAAAAGAAAAGGTTGTTCCATTATGCTTGATGGGTGGACTAGCCGAACAAATAGAAGCTTGATAAATTTTTTAATGAATTGCCCAGTTGGCACAATGTTTATAAAATCTGTTGATGCATCATCATATGTTAAAACAGCAGAAAGATTGTTCAATTTGATTGATGATTTTGTTGACCATGTTGGGGAAGAGAATATTGTTCAAATAGTGACGGATAATGGGTCTAACTTTAAAGCTGCTGGTAAATTATTAGAAATGAAAAGGTTGAATATTTTTTGGACACCATGTACAGCACATTGTGTAGATCTTATATTAGAAGATATTGGAAAAATTTCTAGGGTATCAAAGACTTTGGCAAGAGCAATCAATTTGACAGGGTATATATATAACCACGTAGGACTTCTAAATATGATGAGAGAGTTCACTAAGCAAAAAGAGTTGGTGAGGCCTGGCAAAACTAGATTCTGCACTTCATATCTTACTCTTAAAAGCATTCATCAACAGAAAACTGCATTGAGGACTATGTTTACTTCAGAGAAGTGGGAATCAAGTAAGTGGTCAAGAGAGCCTAAAGGAAAGCGTGTGGTTGAAAGTGTGCTTATGCCTTCTTTTTGGAATACTGTTTCTTATATATTAAAAGTTATGGACCTCTTGTTTGAGTGCTAAGACTTGTAGATAATGAAAAAAACCAGCCATGGGTTATATATATGAAGCAATGGATAGAGCCAAGGAGGCAATTCAAAAGGCATTTGATAATAATGAAGATAAGTATAGAGAGATTTTTCATATTATTGATGAAAGGTGGAATTGCCAACTTCATCAACCTTACATGCTACAGCTCATCTCCTAAATCCAAAATATTATTATGACAACCCAGATATAGAGTTTGATGAAGAAATCACTAGGGGCTTAATATCTTTCATAGGGAGACTTGTGAAAGACCCAACCGCCCAAGAGAAGATCATGAATGAATTGACAATATATAAAAGAGCAGAGGGACTTTTTAGGGTTGATTTGGCCATTAGAACAAGGAAAACAAGAGCTCCAGGTAGATTATAATCACACATTAGTTATTTAATAGCCCTAGTTTTACTAATTTAGTTAAATAATTATGTATTATTTTTATGACTTTGTAGCGGAATGGTGGGCTTCTTATGGAAGCTCTAGCCCTAATTTGCAACATTTGGCAATCAGAATACTAAGCCTTACTTGTAGTGCATCAGGCTGTGAACGTAATTGGAGTGTGTTTGAGCAGGTTAAATTTAAATATTTCAATTTTTTAAAATAGGTCAATGCTATGTTTTATCATATCTTCACTTCATATTAAGATAATTAATTATTATATATGATTTTTCCACTTAGATTCATACAAAAAAGCGGAACAAGTTTGCTCAAGATAGACTCAATGATTTGGTCTTTGTGAAATACAATCAAGAACTGAAAAATAGATATGATAGGCAAGATGTAGATCCCATTTCCTTGGCACATATTGATGAAAGTAATGAATGGCTACTTGGTAGTATGATGGATGTCGATGAGGACGCAGCAGATGAGCGTGTTTTTGGTGATGATGAGAATGAAGAGTTAACATGGGGGGCTGTTGCATCAGCAGCAAGTGTTGGAGAACCAATTAAACAAACAAGAAGCCAAAGCCAAGCTAAAGGAAAAAAAGCTAGCTCATCTAGAGCTAAAGGAAAACAACCAATTACCAACATTGAGGAACTTGCAAATTTTGATTCAGATGAGTTAGAGGAAGACGATGAAGGATATAAATCCAACAATGAAGGAGGAGAAAGTCTTGAGCTTGCCCATCTGAATCTGATTCAGATTTCTAGTTTGATTTTTTTATAAGCCTCAATATTGTTTTTTCATATTTTAAAGATGATTTATGCACTTGATTGATTATTGGAATAGTTTATATTATTATGTTGTAGTTTTGTAGAAGTTTATGATTGAAGTAGATTTATATTTATCACTTTATCTATGGTTTGTTGTCTATAATCTATGTATTATGCATTTTATCTATAGTAGCGCCTTGCTTCACTCAGGCGTGCGCCTTTGTAGCGCCTTGCGCCTAAGGCGTTTTACCAGCTTTGCGCCTTGAGTACGCCTTTCGCCTTTAACAACACTGTTATTGCCTTGATGCGTGCTATGCTAGAAAGGCTTCACCTTAGTGGTTCATGCTTGAAAGATGCTGAAAAATCTTATGATTAAGTACTGAGATATGGAAAGCTTCGAAAAAGAAAGATGTTAGCATTGCATATATTAAAGTTATAAAGGAAATGTATGAAGGTGTTATAATTAGTGTGGGAACCCTAGAGGTGAGATAAAGGGCTTCTCTATGAGATTTGTCCTACATTATGAATCATCTTTGAGTTCTTATTTGACTTGGTTTTAGTTGTTTTGATTGAGCTTATCCAAGAGAAAATCTCTAAATGCATTTTCATTGCAAATGATGTAATCCTAATTGTAGTGTCAAGAGAAGAGGTTAACTTTAAACTTGAGTAATGGAGATAGGCTTTGTAATTGATGTGTTTCTTCTTGAGTAGGAGTGAAATGGAATATGTGCACTACAAGTATAACAAGAGGTAAGTTCGAGATGATACTAGAGGTAAAAATTGGAGACATAGTTGTACAATAATTGTTAAAGCTTAGGATGTGATCAATAATATGAAGGGACAGTGAACAAGGTTGTCACCTACCTCTCAAATCAATGCTAAACTAACCCCAATGTAATACTAGGGTCAATCTAAATCATCTCCTTGGGAAGTGGCCAAATTCAAAGTGAGGTTATCTAAGGCTACAAATTATCC